ACCAAGCTATGCCCGAAAACTCATTTACAATTACTATCAGGGAAGCCTGAAATGGAAAAAGTCTTACAAACTGCTCTGCATATACCAGTGACCCTAGAAGTGGACTAGGAATGAGCCCTGATGAGAGGATGTATAGGAGACCACACTTAGTTCCCGGACTTTCGCAGTGGCTTAGTGGTAAAGAATCTGCCTGCAAAGCAGGAGCTGAAGGAGACATGGGTGGGGATCAATCCCCTGTTCGATCCCTGGGCGGGGAAGTTCCCCTGGAGGGGAAATGGCAACCCACTCCAGGATTCTTGCCTGGAGAATCCCCATGGACAGAGGGCATGGCAGGCTACAGTCCATAGGGTCACAGAGTTGGACATGACTGAAGTGAGTGACCATGCACGCATACTTAGCTCCTAAAAGTAGAAAGAGAACCATGTCTAACACAGGAGGTAAAATCAAACAGTATGTTCAATATGTTGTGTTCCACCAGGTCTCTCTCTCACCTGGAAGCTCCCTTCCCTCTCTTCAAAGGAGGAAGCCAGGTGCTGCTGAAAGTGTGAAAAAGAGAGATGCCCTGTGCAGCAGCTTGAAGAAAAAGGGAAAGAATCCTATGCTCCTCAAGATTGAGGGGAATCAAAGAAAAGGGAGGGGGGTGGGGGGGGAAGTTCCCTGGTTGTCTAGTGGTTAAGAATCTTTCTGCCAATGCAGTGGATACTGGTTCAATCACTGGTCTGGAAAGATCCCACAGGCTGCAGGGCAAGTAAGCCCATGAGCCACCACTACTGAGCCCGCGCACCCCAGAGCCTGAGCTGCAGTGAACAAGAGAAGCCACTGCGGTGAGCAGCCTGCACTCCGCAGCTAGACAGCAGCCCCTGCTCATCGCAACTCGAGAAGGCCCGCTCACAGCAACAAAGACCCAGAGCAGCCAAAAATAAATACATATATAAATCTTTTTTAAAAACAAACAAACGTGATAGTTTAAGAAAGAAAGAAAAGCAAAGGGGTGATTAATGCCAGGCATGACCCTGTGGGGCTGCTGGACATGGAGACCTTTTTGTCTTAAAGTTTTTGTGGGCAAGACTCCAGCTTCCATTACTCAGCACATGTTTTGATTAGCTAAATAAAATGAAAGACTTTATCTATTCATCCATTCATTCACTCAAAAAAATCATTAACATCATTAAACAAGCAACTACTCTGAGCTAGAATATCTTCTAGGGGCGCTCACCCTCGGGGACTGACATTCTAGTGCGGAGAGACAGATCACAGACAGATAAATAAGCAGATAATGTGAGGCCAGCGCTAGGAAGAAAGAATGACAGAGTAAGTGAACGAATTGTCAATGGAGGAGAGGAGAAAGTGGAGGAATTCCCATCAGGGAGGAAATTCCCATCCTCCTGCCTTCACTCGGGAGGACAGGCGCTCTGCAGAGAGTCTGCCCTCGCTGGAGCTGGGGCAACCTGTTGCCCTGGCCTTATGTTAGCCTGAGAGAAGATATTCCAGGAGGAGATATTTACTTTAGGCTTTTAGAGCACTGGCCATCACCCCCCCCTGCACCCCTGCCCAGAGGCACCAGAAATGAAACTGCTGGCCTCAAAGGAAAACCAGAACTCAGTCCACCACTAAGACCAAGGGCAGCCAGTAAAGGGGACAGCTGCCCTGGGACATTCAAAAAAGTGCAGCAGCATCAAAATGCTGCTGAGGAGACCGTGTTCCCCAAGGTCAGGGCTGAGCTGGGACTAGAGGGAGCAGAAGAATCTTCTTCCTTCCTTCCCCCTCCCTCCCTCAGTGTGACCTTCCCTGGCCACTGTGTGCATATTACACTCCCAGCCTTCTCTCTCCTGCTTCCCATTTTCTTTTTCTCTGTGGCACTTATTACCATATAGTTTACTTATCTATTGTACTCTTGCTTTTTCAAAATTAAATTTTTGTTACTCAGTAACAACGGGCCAGTTTAGCACGATGTGACAATGATAGTAGCAAGAATAGCAGGAAGGAGCGCAGCATTAATGTATCTAATACAGAAAGCTTTAGTGATTCATTAGACAGTATGATACTATACAGGATCAGAACTTTCAACACTTCCCTAGATCTTTAATTGATATCTTTCAGACAAGGAGACATGGATTTGATCCCTGGGTTGGGAAGATCCCTGGCAGAAGGAGATGGCAACCCACTCCAGTGTTCTTGCCTGGGAAATCACATGGACAGAGGAGCCTGGCAGGCTACAGCCTCAAAAGAGTTGGAGATGACTTAGTGACTAAACAGGAATAGCAGATAAGTTAACTAATCTAAACAGGTAAGAAGTTGCCTGCTGACATCATACTTGAGTGGAATCACCTTGCACAGGGAACTCTCCTCAATACTCCGTGATGACCTGCAGTATAGGAAAGTGTGTCAGTTACACATACACATATGCCCACTCTTTAGATTCTATTCCCATATTGGGTTTGCTTTTTTCAACAACCCCTAGACCCCAAATGCAAGTTCCATGAGGGCAGGGATTTACCTCTTCTGCTCACTGTTATATTCTAGCACCCAGAACAGTGCCTGACACACAGTAGGTGCTCAAAGAATATTACTCACCCCTTCCTTCATCCTTCCAAAATTCCTTGAGTGCTGGTTCTGTGTCCATACTGTGCTGTGGGCAGGGGCGAGAGTCATCAATAAGACATCCTGGGACTCCCCTGGCAGTCCAGTGCTTAGAACTCTGTGCTTCCACTGCAGGGGCATGGGTTCGATCAGTGGTCGAGGAACTAAGACCCCTCAAGCAACTCGGCCAGGCCCTAAAATAAATAACTAATAAGATATCACTCCTCTCTTTAAGGCGCTCATGGCCCCTGGGAGCCATCCTTGGGAATGGATGGCGCCAGAAACCTGTGTGCCCCTTCCCCCACTTCATTCCCAAAGTTCTCCTCCGTTCACTCCCCTTGCTGTGTGAATGAGGGGAAGTCTTTCCCTGTAACAGTGAGCACGCATCCCTGAAAGCAAACCTTCCTTCTGGCTCTGCTCAGAGCTGACAAGCAGCCTGGTCCAGTAGAATCAGACAGCCCAGAATTTGACTCTCCATCCTGTTCCCTGGCTTCTCTGAGAACTCAGTTTCTTCATCTGTAGGATGGGACTCCAATATCCACCTTGTAAGGGTTCCACCGCAAGTAGAAGATGTCTAAAGGGTTTGGCCAGAGCAGGTAGTAATGAAAAGGCCCCTCTTGCTGACAGTGTTCCTGTGGTGTCTGGCCATGACTTGCAGCCGGCTGCCGCCTGTAGAGAGGACAGCCGGGTGCCCCGTGCTGGCACAGGGAATCCACACTCCAGTCCCCAGCACCCCAGGCAGGCACTCAACCTCAAGTGTTCCACCCAGCATTCGTGGCTTTTACAAATCTGAGATTCAACCTGGCAATGACTTTTTAAAATCCAGCATTGGTGAGGGTGTGTGCTTCCCACTCTCACACCTGGTTCATGAGGCATGTGTTTTGTTTGGGAAAATCTAATGATATCTCAGGGCCTACCAAGTGGCACTAGTGGTAAAGAACCCGCCTGCCAATGCAGGAGACATAAGAGACACAGGTTCAATCTCTGGGTCAGGGAGATCCCCTGGAGGAAGGCATGGCAACCCACTCCAGTATTCTTGCCTGGAGAATCCCAAGAACAGAGGAGCCATATCTATCAAAACAATTCAGCCTCTAGGAATTCACTGAAACCTGTACAAAGACTCACAGACCTGGGTGTTCATGAAAATGTCATTTATAATACCAAAAAAATAAAAAAAAACTTCATTGTCTAACACTAGGATGACCAGATAAAACATATGATATATCCTGCCATTAAAAATAGTTATAGAAAAAGAATAATATGGGAAGACGTTTACAAAATATTAAATGAGTAAAGCAAATATAAATCAGTATTATAGTATGAATCTGTTTCCCTCTCTTTCTCGTACTAAAGTTGCCTCTAGATGGTAGGATTACAAATGTTTTCTAGTTGCTTCTTTGTGCTTTTCTGCATTTTTTCCCCTGTGTTACCTGTTTTTAAAGAAAAATTAGAAAATCAAACTCATTTTTGCAAAATACAGACTAAGCAGAGATATAACAAATTGACATAGCTAAATTTTATCTTATGTCTAGATCACTTATGTTAACCTATAGATAATTTCTGATCATAGCTCAATGAACTAGTGAAAAACTTTTAAACTGTCCCTAGGATCTTTTATTACTGGACCAGAAAGATCCTCTGGAGAAGGGAAAGGCTACCCACTCCAGTATTCTGGCCTGGAGAATTCCATGGACTGTATAGTCCAAGTGACTCGCAAAGAGTCGGACACACGACTGAGCGCCTTTCACTTTCACGCATATATATGTAAATTCCTAACGACCTTTTCTTTGGGAATGATGTTAATTTACAGAAAAATTGTAAAGGTAGTGCATAAAGTGCCCCTGTTCCCCACCCCCATCCCTCCTAACTTGCAAAAGCAGGGTACACTTGTCACAACTAAGAAGCCAGCACTAGTAACTACAGACTTTATTTGGGTTTCGCCATTAACATTCTCATTCTGTGCCGGGGTACAGTCCCTGGGTACCACATGGCCTTGATCTGTCCCTGTCTTTTCAGGCTTCCCTAGACTGTGGCAGTTTCTTGGACATTCCTGGTTTTTCATGTACCTGTATGAATTCTGTAATCAGGAAAAGAAAGGGATGAGGACAAAGAAGAAAAGAAGGTGATGATGGAGTTGGTGACGGTGAAGAGTGATGTCCCGGAATGCCTTCGTTTTTATCTCGGTGGGAGGCTAGGGATCTTTTCCTTTCTCTGTTCACCGAAACAAATCGGGGAAAGCAGTTGCTGCCTGGGATCTGTGGGATGCACAGAGGCTGGGCGCCTTAATCCCTCCCTGCCCTCTGCCCTCTGGGTTCCCGCGCCCGCTACCGTCCCCCACCCCCACCCCGATGCGGGGGCCCTTGGGTGCAGGGCAAGCCCGGGGCGGCGGGTCCCCTCGCCGGTTGGGCGAGCGCGCGGGCGGCACCCGGATCAACTGTTCCGCAACCCGACTCGGCCACCCCGCCCCGCTCCTGCCCCAGGTCTTATAAGCCTGTCCTGCTTCGAGCCTCCAAACTGCCCGCTGCCAGCCCCGGCCAGGCGCCCCCTGCAGCATGATCTGGAACACTAATCTCCGCTGGCGGCTGCCGGTCGTCTGCCTGCTCCTGGAGGTGGTCATGATAGCCCTCTTCGGCGTGTTCGTGCGCTACGACATGGATGCCGATCCCCACTGGGTGGAGGAGAAGGCGATCAAGAACTTGACCACTGACTTGGAAAACGAATTCTACTATCGCTACCCGAGTAAGTCCCGCCACCTTGCAGGTCCACTTTGCAGGTCCCCCTATCCCGGCGAAGGGTCCTGTCTCGCCTTTGGGGGGAGCTGCAGGCGGAAATGCCGCCCACATCCCCCTGCCCCGCCCCTCTTAGGCTCCCCAGTATGGAGAGACTTCCCAGTGCCTGGAGGTTAAGCTCCGGAAATGGCCAGGCGTACCCAAGCTCCTTTGAACCCGTGAAAACTCAGGAAGAAACACCCTTCAGGTGTCCTCGGAGACCTCCAACCTCCCTTCAGAGAGCCCTTCTTGATGTCTTCAGGAGACCCCAGTGGGTGACCTTGGCTCTCTTGTACAGCTGCGCCCAAACTCTCCACCTTAATAGGATAGTTCCAACGTCAAGGGCTGCAGGGGTGGCTCACTGGCCTACCCGCCCTGCTGGCGTGGAGGACCACAGCACAGCCGTGTTTTGGCTTGGAGAGGGAGAGAGACACCCCTGAATTCCCTGGCATCCGTGGTGCTGTGATTAACAGCATGGCCGGAGAATCACCACACCTCACCTATATCAACCAGGTGGGTGAGCTGTAGGCAAAGGTCAACAATACACAGACTCGATTTCCTCATCTGTCCAATGGGGATAATAATGAGACTTATCCTACAGGAGTGGGGTGAGGCTGGCATGAGACATTGCACATAAATTTCTGGCACTGTGCTGGGCATGGAATCCTCACTTTATAATACAGCAATTACTAGATGAGTACTAAAGGCAGAGGCCCTAGGACTCAGCAGTTAGAAGAACTGGTGCAAGGTTACTTGGGTTGGCCCAACCTCTGGACCCCCAGCCCAGGACTCTCTTCATGCCCTTGTGCTTTCTAGTTTTCCACACCATCTGCCAACAGCCAATGACAGTCTCTTTCTAACTGTTGGTACTCACATAGTCATGGACCATTAGTTTTAGAAGGGACCCTAAAGTTCGTCTCCAACAGTCACCTATGCAAACTGATCTTCCCTCCATGACTTTGTTGTTGTTGTTGTTCAGTTGCTCAGTTGTGTCTGACTCTTTGCACCCCCATGGACTGCAGCACCCCAGGCTTCCCTGTCCTTCGCTATCTCCAAGAGTCTGCTCAAACTCATGTCCACTGAGTTCATGATGCCATCCAATCATCTCATCCTCTGTCACCCCCTTCTCCTCCTGCCCTCCATCTTTCTCAGCATCAGGGTCTTTTCCAATGCCTTGGCTCTTAGCATCAGGGGACCAAAGTTTTGGAGCTTCAGCTCCAGCATTAGTCCTTCTAGCGAATATTCAGGGTTGGTTTCCTTTAGGATTGATTAGTTTGATCTCCTTGCTGTCCAAGGGACTCTCAAGAGTCTTCTCCAGCACCACAGTTTGAAAGCATCAATTCTTTGGCACTCAGCCTTCTTTATGGTCCATCTCTCACATCTGTACATGACTATTGGCAGTGTTATGACTCCCATTTCACAGACCAGGAAATTGAGGCCAGAGACGGGACATGTCTTGCAAAAGCCACTCATCCAGAAACCTAGTAAGCCAGAGTAGGAGCTCCAGGGACCTGAACCCCGCCTCCTGGACTGCTCTCCCTTTCATCTCACCTTTCTGCTCTTCTCCTTCCCTACTGGTGGCTGTGACTGGAGTTGGAATGTAGGTGTGGCCCCAAGCCTGGGTTCCCAGGCCTCAAGGCAATTCCCAGGGGCATGGAGTGAGGGCAGTCCCTTTTGGTACTTTCTGGGTTCTTGGCTCCATGCTGTCAACACCTGTGCAGGCTTCGTTCCTGCCCAGAGGATTAGAGGAGTACTCTGGGCATCTCAGTTTTCAGAGAAGTCTAGCTCCAGCTGGCTTAAGCTGGGGCCCAGGGGTGCCTGAGCATGGCTCCCAGGGCATGGGCCCCTTGGCAAATAGCAGGCACAGAACCAGCTGGGGACCGCCCTGGCAGTGCCCTGAAAACCCAAGCTGCTGAACATGAACTTCCTCCGGGGCTGATGCTCCGGGCAGCGTCTGGGGAGGTTGGCCTGAGGAGAAGCCATCAGAGCCTGGGCTCTCGAAGCTTCCTGGGAAAACAGAGGGAGAAAGGAAAGGACCTCAGGCTGAAGATGCCACCGTTTCAAACACCTGAAGGTCTGGTTCATAAAACTGAGGCAGCAAGGTTCACCCTGCGCTCCTGGGAACCTAAACCTCAGATTCGTGCATTCCTCAAGCAGAGGGCAGTGTAGCCTGGTAGTTGACTTTGGAATTAAACAGATATGGGCCCATCACTTTAAATGGAGTAAAGTGAAATTGTTAGTCGCTCAGCTGTGTCTGACTCTTTGTGACCCCATGGACTATAGCCCACCAGGCTCCTCTGTCCATGGGATTCTCCAGGCAAGAATATTGGAGTGGGTTGCCATTTCCTTTTCCAGGGATCTTCTCAACCCAGGGATTGAAGCCAGGTCTCCTGCATTGCAGGCAGCTTCTTTACCATCTGAGCCACCAGGGAAACCCAAAGTAGATTAAGCCACCTCCCTAATCACACCGAGTCTGAGTATGCCCATCTGTGAAGTGGGAATGTTATTTAATGCACAGGAACTCTTGGAAGATTGAAGATAATGGGTAGCCAGGAGGGCTTGTCTCATAACATGAATCAGAGGACAGTAAACGCTGGTATCAAGCTTCCTCAGAAGGAATTGATGCTGTTGCTGAAGATGTTTAAGTGCAGGCTTAGCATCTATTTAGTGATGTGTCTTCCCTGATAGCTCAGTTGGTAAAGAATCCAGCTGAAATGCGGGAAACCTGGGTTCGATACCTGGGTTGGGAAGATCCCCTGGAGAAGGGCAAGGCTACCCACTCCAGTATTCTGGCCTGGAGAATTCCATGGATGTGTCCATGGGGTGGCAAAGAGTCAGACACGACTGAGCGACTTTCACTTCACGTCACTTCAGTGATGTGGCCAAGGAATATCTCTGTGAACATGAGTTTGAACTACTATAGCATTTAAATTCCTTTGTGCTCTCCCCACTTGTTCAGTCACTAAGTCATGTCCAACTTTTGCAACCCCGTGGACTGTACCCCACCATGGGATTCTATCACATGGGACAGATCCCATGGGAATCTGTCCATGGGATTCTCCAGGCAAGAATACTGGAGTGGGTTGCCATTCCCTTCTCCAGAGGATCTTCCCAACCCGGGGATCAAACCCGTGTCTCCTGCGTTGGCAGGCAGATTCTTTACCACTGAGCCACCAGAGAAGCCTTCTTCCTACTCACAAGCACTTTTTGCATGCTCTATCAGATGAGGAGTGTATTTGTTTCTATTTTATGTTGCCAGGGATGGAGCTTAGAGATTTTCCCAGCTGGTCAGTGGCACAGGCAGGGGTGAGGCCAAGCCCTCACACTGCACAAAACCTGCTTCCCCCAGTCTCTGTGGCATTGCCACTCCTCATCCACCTGCCCAGGAAGTTTTGCAGTGATGGGATGGTTCTGTGTCTGGCTCCGAGTTGTGGGAGAGGTGGACACAGAGCCTTGGGGAATTGAGGGACTGGCCAGCGGACTTGAAAGGCAACAGTTTAGGCTGGGCTGGCCTGTAGAGCCTGGAAAGGGCTGGTCCCCTTCCCAGGAACGTTGGAGAGAGAGCTGCTGTCGCCCACCAGCATAGGAAACTTGATCCTCAGATTTCAGAAATTTTCAAAACTTGGCCTTCATCAGACCACCCCGGGAGAGAAAAGTGAGCCAGGAAGGGGTGGCAGAACAGCTGTGTACTGGCGCCCCCTGGTGGCCGCTCTCAGAACTGGCCTCCAGGAGGCAGGCTCGCCCCTCTGGGACCTGCCATGGTGGAGGGAGCCTGCCTGGCTGCTTGGGGCACTCACTACAGGCTGGGGAAAGTAGCGGAAGAGAGGCGTTGTCTTATCAACTTCCACCGACCCCCAGCAAGTCGCCAACCCGATGCAAAGCACCTGGTCAGTCTTGAAAGAGAAAAAGAGGAGTAGTAATTAATATAATTAAGCAATTGCTGAGGAGGAGAAGGGGACGACATGATGAGATGGTTGGATGGCATCACTGACTGGATGGACATGAGTTTGAACAAACTCCAGGAGATAGTGAAGGACAGGGAAGCCAGGTGTGCTGCAGTCCATGGGTCACAAAGAGCCAGACATGACTGAACGACTGAACAACAGCAAGCAATTGCTGAGGAATCAGGCTTATGCCCAGGGCTTTGATTGGATGACATTAAATGTGTACCACACACCTCTGAGTTTTGTTACTATTCCTCATTTTACAGAAGAAGAAACTTGAGGTCAAAGAGGTTATGTCCTTGCTAAAGGTCATACAATCTGGACCTTCAGACCATTTTTTTTTTTTTTAATTTTTTTTTTTCCATTTATTTTTATTAGTTGGAGGCTAACTACTTCACAGCACTGCAGTAATGAACATTGGGGTGCACGTCAGACCATTTTTTAAACAAAATATTTATTATTCATTTATTTGGCTGCCCCGGGTCCTAGTTGTGGCATGTGGGATCCAGTTCCCTGACCAGGGGTCGAATCCAGTACCCCTGCATTGAGTGCAAAACGTCTTAGCCCCTGGATCATCAGGGAAGTTCTGGACCATTGCTATTAAAAGCATTTTCAGTAGCATCAAAGTCGTTTGGCAGTCAATCCTAAAGGAAATCAACTGTGAATATTCATTGGAAGGACTGATGCTGAAGGTAATACTCTGGCCTCCTAATACTAAGAGTCAGGTCATTGGAAAAGACTCTGATGCTGGGAATGATTGAGGGCAGGAGGAGAAGGGGGCAACAGAGGATGAGATGGTTTGATGGCATCACCAACTCAATGGACATGAGTGTGAGCAAACTCTGGGAGACAGTGAAGGACAGGGAAGCCTGGTGTGCTGCAGTCCATGGGGTTGCAAAGAATCGGACATGACTTAGTGACTGAACAACATTCGTATTTCAGTAAGGACCAATTTAGGAGATAGAGAGAAGGGAGTAAGAGAGCGAATAAGGAAGGTGCGGAAAGAGAGCAAAGCTGGAGTCTGCGCGCCTGAGGTTGTGGGGCAAGAAACATATCCACAGAAGAGTTAGAGACAGAGGCCAGGACAACCGGGGAGTCACAGAGAAGGACAGAAAACCGGCAAGGTGGGGACCGGCAGGGAGAAGCGCTGAGAAGCTGTGCGCTCTCTGCTCTTTCGCCCCAGGCCACAGGGAGAACTGAAGGCAGCCCTCAGGAAGGCAGCCTCCAGGCTCTTGAGCCCCGACCCCTGCCTGCCTGCTTCCCCCACCTCCAAACAGCTCACACTTCTCGCTCTGGAAGTCTGCGATGCTACCTTTTCCCAGGGTTTCCCCTCACCTCCCTGCCAGCACCGTCCCTGTCTAATCTGCTCAGTTCCGGACCAGCCAGTGCTCGGCTCCTGTCTCCCGCTCATCATTCCAACTCCCAGCCCTGTGTGCAGATCTGCCGGACCTCAGACCCCAGCTCCAGCCCAAATGGCCAGGCTCCATTGCGCCCACACTACCCCGCCTGACGCTCACCGCCACCACCCACCCCCGGGGTCATGGGGTCATTTCAAACTCCCATGACCAGCCCTAGACCCAGCACCTCCCTCCCTCCCCGGCAACCTCTTCCTCCTTCCCTGTGTTTACCAACAGTGCTGCCAGCTCCCCTCCCTGCTTTCATAACTGTGGTCTAAAGGTGTCTCCTCCCTCTTTCTCCAGTTTGTCACCCATCAGTTCTTCCCAAGAGTCGCCGTGACCCTGTGGATGGCGCTTCACATATGTTAGCTCAGTTTCCTCCACAACAGAAACACGATAAACCATGAAACATGATAACAACACAAAATCAGCCTCACACACTGTGAAACCCAAGCCAAGCTGCTGTTTGTTTGTGTAAGTCTGCGCAAAAGAAGCTCAAAGCTCAGAGCACCGTGCTGGGGCGAGACCCACAGCTCTCTTGCATCAGCTTCTGTGCCCTCAACCCTTACCCAGCCTCAGGGAAGCCTGCAGGGGAGACAGATGAGGGCAACAGGGGAGGGGCAGGATAGCCTAAGCATCGCTGCCCTCCTGCACTGTGGCTGGCCAGGCTGCTGTGGACATCAGGGCCTAACTACCCAGTGGGTAGGAGACATCAGATAGGAGAGGGTCTGCAGTCTCCCCTGATGGTGAAGTGCCACCTGGGGCCCTTGGCTGCTGCTCAACTGGCATATCTGGCTACACCTGAGATCACAACAGTAATTATTCATTCATCCCTTCAGGGATATTTATGGAGCATCCACCTGGAGAATGCCCCTAGGCAGTGGAGAATCCCAGCATGAACCAAACAGACTTGGCCTGGACTCCTGGGGCTTCCCTGGTAGCTCAGCGGTAAAGAATCTGCCTGCAATGCAGGTTCAGTCCCTGGATCAGGAAGATCCCCTGGAGAAGGAAATGGCAACCCACTCCAGTATTCTTGCCTGGGAAATCCCATGGACAGAGGAACCTGGCGGGCTACAGTCCATGGGGTCACAAAGAGTTGGACATGGCTTAGCAAATAAACCACTGCCACCATTTGACTCCTTGGAACTTTAAAGTCTAGTGGGCTAGACAAACAAACCTAACTACCTAACTACAAATTGTTGTAAGAACTAGAAAAGAAAGAAGAAGGTGTCATGAGGGAGTGAACCAACTTGAAACCCAGGGGTCTGGAAGGCCTCTGTGATGAGGTGACTTTTTGCTGAGATCCACAAGAAGAGATGGAGAAGGAAATGGTAATCCACTCCAGTAGTCTTGCCTGGGAAATCCCATGGACGGGGGGACCTGGCAGGCTACAGTCTATGGGGTCACAAAGAGTCAGGCAACGACTGAGCGACTAAACAAGAAGTTGCTGGCCATTCTGCGGGAACAGCGTCCCACATGGAGGGACCACCACAGGCAAAGAGCCAGAGTGAGACTGAGCAGGGGGAGGCCAGGGCGGCTGGGGCACGGGAGGGAAGGAAGGGCCGCGGAAAGGAAGGAGGAGGAGACTGGTGGGTGGGGCCAGGCCAGGCTCGGTGAGCCCTGCAGTTCTCTTTTATTCAAAAACTTTTAATTGGGGAAATCATTTCAAATTTACAAAGAGCTGCTAAAACAAAAATAGTACAAAGAACACTGTATACTCTATTTAACTCCCATTAAGCATCTCTCTCTTTTCCCACATAAAAGCAAGCACATACATACAGTTCTTTTCCCCTGAACTGAGAGTCCGTTATACATATTGAGGTCTGGCCGCCTTAATACTCCACTGTTTCCTAAGGATAGAGGCATTCTCTTCCATCACCACAGTAGTCAACTTCATGAATTTACACTGTATGCTACTTTAATATACTGTCCCTATATAATTTTGTCAGTGGGTCCATTGAAAACCTTTGTGGCATTCCCCTGTACCCGCACCCACTCCCTACCCCAGCCAAATCCAGGATCCCATCTAGGGTCAAGTATTGGATTTATTTGACCTGTCTGTTTAGCCTCTTTAACCCAGAACATTCCTGTGTTGGTAAAGCACCTAGCACAGTGTCTGTCCCATAATAGATGTTCACAATGGGCAGCCTTTCTTTATCTTGTAAGACACTGGTATTTTGAGTCCAGTCCTCCCCTTTCTAATAGCATGTTCCTTTGGTGTTTCCTCATGATTAGATTGGGATTATGCCTTCTCAGCCAGAGCACCACATAGGTGATGTGTCTTTTTCAGAATATCTTCCTGAAGGTGCACAATGTCCGCGTGTCCCACACTGGTGATGTTAATTTTGATCACACCATCAAGATGTTGCCCGATTTCTCCACTATATGGTTACCGGATGTTTTTTCACCCTCATTTACAACTCATAAGCAATCTAAAGGGAGACTCCTTTAAGACAACACACAAGTACCTTGCTCTTCCTCAAAAGTTGTCCCTGGATTTTAACATCCAGTGATGAAATTTTCATTGTGAAAATTATGATTTTTCCAACTTCAGTGCTCATTCCACATTTAACTGTTGGGCTGTCAGCATTCTGTTGTAAGCAAGAACCCTCTCTGCTACCTCTCTCTTTTTTAAAAACAGCTGTTCCTGTTTGTTATGGTTTTCATTTGTTATGGTACCTAATTATTTTGGCCAGTCAAGGGACTCCTAGGCCAAGTGAGACTAACTTCTCCACAGTAGACGAATGGAATTGCGTGGGTAAGGCTCTTGGCGAGGGCAGTGAAAGGGGGCTGTCATCTCTCAACAGGGGTGCCCCGGCATTCCTTGGCCTTCAAACCCAGTGGTCTGAGTGGTCTAAAGTGGGGGGTCTCACCTCCATCCCCCCAGCCCAGTCCACCCCAAAGGCATTTTTTCTTCTAATTGAAGTATGCTGGTGCTGCTGCTAAGTCGCTTCAGTCATGTCCGACTCTGTGCGACCCCGTAGACAGCAGCCCACCAGGATCCCCCGTCCCTGGGATTCTCCAGGCAAGGACACTGGAGTGGGCTGCCATTTCCTCCTCCAATGCATGAGAGTGAAAAGTGAATGTGGAGTTGCTCAGTTGTGTCAAGACTCTTCGGGACCCCATGGACTACAGTCTACCAGGCTCCTCTGTCCGTGGGATTTTTCCAGGCAAGAGTACTGGAGTGGGGTGCCATTGCCTTCTCCGAATTGAAGTATAGTTGATACACAATGCTATGTTAGTTTGTGGTGTATAGCAAAGTGATTCAGTTATACATATATATAAATACATTTTTTTCATATTCTTTCCCATGAGGGTTCATTATAGGGTATTGGCTACAGTTCCTTGGGCTATACAGTAGGACCTCATTGTTTCTCTGTCGTATGCATAGCAGTTCGCATCTTATGACGTGACGGGTAGTGGTGGCTCTTCTACTCGCAGTAGAAGAGTCATAATTGCTGCAGGAGCCTCAGGATCCAGATGTAGGGGTGGCGGGATGGGGGTTGAGGGTGGCCCAGGTCCGGCCAGTGGTGGACCGCGCTGGGCCAGACGCAAGGCTGCAGCGGGGGGCTTCGCTAGGCCACCGGGACTCCGGGCTGTGTTCTCCCCACAGGCTTCCAGGACGTGCACGTGATGATCTTCGTGGGCTTCGGGTTCCTCATGACCTTCCTGCAGCGCTACGGCTACAGCTCCGTGGGCTTCAACTTTCTGCTGGCGGCCTTCGGCATCCAGTGGGCGCTGCTCATGCAGGGCTGGCTTCATTCCTTCGACGGAAGCTACATTCTGGTGAACGTGGAGAAGTGAGCGCGGCTAGGCGTGGCCCGGAGGCTTGGGCTGTGAGGAGCTGGGTCTTCTTCATCCAGCCAGGGTACGCAGGGGCCCTGCGACATACACCCCCCACCCCCAACACACACACACACACACACACACACACACACACTTCCTGATCAGTGAGTCTCCAGGGTGGGAGTTCTCATGGTAACCAAGTGCTGTTGGAGGGTTTTCTTCCTCCTAAGACACAGGCTGCAGGGATGCAAGGCCTCTCCCCAGGGTCCAAGTCTGGACTCCGCTCTGACACGTCAAACATCTAAATTTGCCCTGAGAGACCTCAGGCCATAGGACCCACGAAGGGGAGGGAGTGGGTGGCAGGCAAGAGGAAGGAGTGTGGTACTGCCTGAACCAGCCTCCTTAGGTTCATTGTAGAGGGAATATTGAATGGGGAATCCGGTTGCCTGTGTCCCCACCCAGGGAACAGAGCAAAGAGCTGTGAGGCATGTGTGGAGTCCTAGGGCTGAAGCCCCTCTCTGCCTCAGCCTCCAAGGGGGCCCCTAATCCCTATCTCTTCTCACCTCCATCCTCATCACTTTTGTCTGTGATAATCTTTTGGTCTGATAAGTACTACACTCCCTTCTATCAGGGAACTCAGCCCCTCCCTCTGTCTGAAGAGACCTCCTAGGAGCCTTAGCATGTTTCTCCCCTCAACACCACCACCAGGTTATACAGTAAATTTGCCACTTTACAAAAAACCAACTTGCCAAGCAGTCATCTCACTGAATGACTCATTTCTCAAACTCTCCAGCCAGGGAAACCTAAGAAACTTACACAACAGTTTCCACTGCATGGTACAAAATCAACAGCCTTTGGGAGATTTCCCCCCTCCCTTCTCTTTTTAGTCAAGGTTTGGTTTATTGAAGGCTCTCCTTTAAGTCCAGTTAGTTTTCTATTTCTGTAGACATATGACAAGTTTGGCTAAAGAAAAGTACATTTCATAACTTGAGAAAGTTGTTGTTGGTGTGTAAAAACAAGCATTCATTAGCCTGCTTGGAAAACCAAATCCACAGAAAGGGTTTAGAGGCAAATTGGTACAAAACCACATTTTTGAAAACACTTATTTTTAATTGGAGAATAATTGCTTTACAATATTGTGTAGGTGTCCACTGCACATCACATGAATCAGCCATAGGTATACTTATGCCCCTTCCCTCTAGAACCTCCCTCCCCAAAACTACATTGAAAGTGCAAATCCCTGCTGTCACATACAGGGCACCAATCAGATATCATAGGCCAGGGGCCTGAAATTTTAAACATATGACAAACACTTGCAAAATATTAATTCATTCAAGCCAGTTAATGGATCTATGAATTAAGAGAAACAGGAAAAATAGTCAACTAGGTAGAAAATGTTTTGGAACCAAGAAGTCAGTCTTTTTGTATATGAAATCTATGACATACATGCATATCACTCTACTGTATAAGATACACAGGAAATTCTCATTCCAAAAGCCATAGACCCAAAGTATAAAAGTGCCTGTGATATATTTAATTGGCCACCACAGCAAAATAACTATGGCTAAATGCAAAACAGAAGTATAGAGCTTTTTTAAATGTTCAAAGGAAATTATTACAAACTTTTCTGGGTTAAATTTTTTGAACCAGTTATTTAACAAGTTAGTCACTTGACAACTTGAGTTTTGGCAACTTGGTTTTTGGGGAAATGATTTTCAGCAACTTAGCTGGAGCCGATTTCTGGTGCCCAGGGCTGAGATGAACATGTTGCCCCCTAGACCTCACCTGAGGATCCTTCTCCTAGCTTCTGTCCTGTCCCTGCTGAAGAGTCCCAGATCCCACCTGTCCCTCCAGGGTTGTTCCCCAGACTCAAGGAGGAACTGTGTGCTCCTCAGCCTTCATTCTCAGGCCTTGCCTGAGATGTGACATCCAGATATCCATCTCCCAGGGGCTGATGGCCCAGCTGTGGGCTTCTGTGCACTCCCTCTCACTCCTTCCTAGGGGGTCATCTCTGCCAGGTGGTCTTCTGGCTGAGTTATGGAAATTTGGGCAAATAACTCGGCCTCTCTAAGTCTCCATTTCCCATCTTTATGATGTGGCCAATAATGGTACCGGTTCCATGGGTCCAGGTGTGATACAGGAGGGCCTATGCTGCACTGAACAAGCATTGAAGTGCCTGGCACTTAGCACCTGTCATCATTCATTCAGCCAGGCCCGGGGGATGCAGCAGTGAACAAGGCTTATAGTGAAGAGACATTCCAGTGGGCATCCTTTGTCTGGGGAGGGACCCTGAGGGGACGGTGTCCCGCCCCCACTCCACACACTGTCCCTACCATCAGCTGGCTTCTTACTTCTCACTTCCCGATTCACACACACACACACACACACACACACTTGAGTATGGGGGAGGGGGCTCCTGTGGCTGTGACTGCCTTAAGGAAGTAGTAGCCCCTGCTGTCTTTATGAGGACCCTGGTTGACAATGCTCATGGCTTGGAGGCCACACTGAGAGTCTGCCTTGGATTCCAGGACAGCTTTGCTGCTGGCAGGCCCCAAGGAGACCTGGGTTAGGCACAGCGGGCATGTGGATAGAATCAGGATCCCCTCTGACCACATGGCATGCCTCTGTTGGCTGGCTGGGTTTTCAGGGTCCAGACTTAAGGAGGGCCTGCACGCTCCTTGGCCTGCATTCTCTCTGTTGGCCTTCCCGTCCCCTCTCTCCACCCAGCCCCCAGCTCCCTACTGCCTGCAGGAAGGTCTTTCCTTCTTCCCTGGACATAGATCCTCTCTCCCAGGTAAGGTGAAGAGCAGGTCATGATGACTCAAACCCAAGCAAGGCCCTGGTAGCCAGCAGGAGAAGTGTGTGTAGAGAGAAGGATTTGGAGGCAGAGACTACATCTGGTTAGAGGTATTGGGGAAGGCTTCCTGAAGGAGGTGGTGGGTGAGAAGAGGTTTTGGAAGGACAGGTAGAAAATGAAGGGCAGGACAAGGTCACAAATATGGACTGGACCATATTCAACAACAGCAGCCAGATCACTTGGGTGCCTTGAGTACAAGCTGCCTGCAAGGAAGGGGGTGGGACCTGAGTTGGGCCCTCAAAGGAAGGGTGTGGTGGCATCTAGTATGTGCCACTGCTGTGCTGGATACTTCACAGGCTATTTCTTTGCATTCTTAGAGTAGCTCTAAGATGCTATGTGCCCGTTACCACAGATGGTGAAACCAAGGCTCAGCAAAGTTAGACCACAAGCCCAAACCCACAGGTGACCAAAGTTCAGATTCAACCTCAGAGCTTGAGTGCCACTTCTTACTGTGGCCTCAGCCCCTCCCCTGACCTGTCTCCCCACAGCCTCATCAATGCGGACTTCTGCGTGGGCTCTGTCTGTGTGGCCTTTGGGGCAGTTCTGGGCAAAGTCAGCCCTGTCCAGCTCCTCATCATGACTCTCTTGCAAGTGACCCTCTTCTCAGTGAATGAGTACATTCTTCTCAACCTGTTAGAGGTGAGCAGAGCTCAGAACAGGGATGGCGGTGGAAGGGGCACTTGGGGGGACAGGAAGGTGACAGAGAAAGAAAGGACTGGGGAGACAAGCCAGCTGGATTCAATTCAAGTTTGACCAGTCACTTAATCTTCTGAGTCTCAGTTTCCCCAGCTGTAAAGCAGGAGAAATGACATATATTGAGCATCCACCTGGTACATCAATCCAGCAACTAGACAGAGCAGAGGTTCCTCACGTGTTGGTTTTCTTCCTCCTTTCTCTTTCCGGCACATCAGAGGGAAAGAATGGGATGTTGCTGCGCATCATCTTGCGCACACAAATTCCCAGATTGCTCTGCCAAGAAAATGACCCAGTATACTGAGGGGGCTCATCTGTAAGAAAAGTTCCCAGGGAAGTGGCCAAAGCAGACATGTACAGTTGCACAGGTGGCACACTGCACAACTCTGGAGGTGCCGTTCACATGGACCTCTATGGCAGGAATGATGTCCCCTGAGGTTGGCTAATTCACTGGCCAAGGTAAAGAGCATCTTAGGCCTCTACTCTTGTTTAGACACCTTTTTGGCATATTTGCAGGAGTAGGGATTATTCAGGAACCCCATCCCTTTCTCAGTCTCCAACTTCTCTATATTTGGACTCTGCCTAGAAACCCCCAGGGTGTTTTTTTTTTAACATAGAATTTCTCAGAAACAGGGTGATCAGGACTTGCACAGTGGTTCCTCAGTATCATCTGGGATCCAGTCTTTTTTGTTTCACTATTTTGAGCACATGATTTCCATTCTTTTNCTCCTTATCTCCCAGCCTTCCCCCTCATGACAAGGCCAGAGACCTAGCCTGAGTCTGTGGCCCCTGGGACAAGGGTCTGCCTAACATGTTCCTTCTTTTGGCTATTTGTTTTATGATTAAAGTGTGGTTCATTTTCAATATTAAATTAACTTCAGCTGTACAGCATAGTAATTCAACATTTTAATAGATACACTCTAATGTTACTATAAAATAATATCTATATTTCCCCGTACTGTACAATATATCCTTGTAGCTTATTGATTTCATACATAGTTGCTTGCTGTACCTCTTAATCCCCTACCCCATTTTGACCCTCTTGCCTTCCTTCTCCGTACTGGTAACCTCTAGTTGTTCTGTATATCAGTGAGTATGTTTCTTTTCTGTTATATTCATTCATATGAATATTAATATATTCATATATTCAAAAATATTTATTTTTTAGATTCCATATATAAGTGATAACATACAGTATTTTGTCTTTGGTTTATTTCACTAAGCACCTTCCATGTCCATCTATTTTGTTGTAAATGGCAGAATTTCATTCTTTTTTTATAGCTGAGTAATAGTCCACTGTATATCTATATACTCACCACATCTTCCTTTTCCATTTATCTGTTGTTGGGTGCTTAGGTTGCTTCCATATCTTGGCTCTTGTAAATAATGTTCCTGTGTACATCGGCATGCATATATCTTTTCAAATTAGTATTTCCATTTTCATCAGATATATATCCACTAGTGGAATTGATGGATCATATAACAGTTCTGATTTTAGTTTTTTTAAGGAAGCTCTATACTGTTTTCCATAGTGGCTGCATCAATTTACATTCCCACCAACAGTGTACATGGGTTCACTTTTCTCACATCCTCACCAACATTTGTTGTGTGCTTAATTGCTTAGTCAGGTCTGACTCTTTGCGACCCCATGGACTGTAGCCCACCAAGCTCCTCTGTCCATGGGGATTCTTCAGGCAACAGTACTGGAGTAGGTTGCCATGCCCTCCTCCAGAGGATCTTCCCAACCAAGGGCTAGAACCCAGATCTCACTGTAGATTTTTTGATGACAGCCATTCTGACAGGTGTGAGGTGATAACTTATTGTGGTTTTGATTTGCATCTTTAATGATTAGCTGGCTCTGTAGTTTTAAAATCATACCAGAAATTTTCAGGATAATCTTAACTAATATCCACTAAAAACCAATATTATGTACATAACTAATAAGCCTTTTAAATTTGCTCTTCTTTAAATTATTTTTAAAATTAAAAAAAATTATTTTTAAAATTAAAACATGAATATAAGCTCATTAAAGAAAAGCCGGAAATAGAGATAAATAGAAATTCCATCACTCATTCAAGCACTATTAATATTTTGGGTATATTTCCTTCCAGCCTCCCCCCTTTATAAATCTACATGAACTTTTCTTAAATAGCTAAGATGATATTATATTTGATTTCATATCCTGCTCTTTCTCTCTCTATCATAAGAACTGTTTTGTGTTATTACATTATGAATAAACTTTATTTTTTAGCAGCATAATTATTTTCATTCTATATTTGAAGTGGGAACTTAAATTATTTCAGACACCACAATTAGAAACAACACAGATTAAAGTTAATGAAATAAACTAAAAAAAAATGTATCTATTCTATACATAGAAGTTCACTCTTGGTTCTGTTTTTTTTCTTCTTCTTCCTTTTCTGTGGAATTCTAGTTTTCTCATTAGGGATTGAACCCGGGCAGCCACAGCAGTGGACGTGCCAAGTTCTAACCCCTGGACCCCTGGGGAATTCTCTCTTGGTTCTGTTTTGATCATTTACATTGTTGTTGTTTTAGTTGCTCAGGTGTGTCCGGCTCTTTTGTGACCCCGTGTAGCCTGCCAGGCTCCTCTGTCCATGGGACTTTGATCTTTATAACTTCTTCCAAGTTCACACCTTCTCTGTGCTGTATTATCAGCAGTGCTCAGTTTCAAGCCACACAATCCCATGCCGTTGGAAGTAAGCCACCATCAGGCCATTCTCACGGCCCCTGGCCTCTGGCAGTTTACCTGGGAGATGAGGTGACTTCCCAGAGGACAGAGGTGAGGCAGATGTCCCCCAGGAGCACAGGTGAGGACATCTTTAGGATCAAATCTAAGCCTTGAGGCCAAGGCTGGGCTGATCTCCCCCATCCATACTCCATCTACCAGTCCACTTCCGGATGCCCCTACATCCCCACTCCCCACCCCAACCTCACTCTTGGACCATCCTGGTGTTCAGGGAGCTTGCCAAGCTGCCTCATACCTGGTGCATCACTATTCCTCTTTCAAAAGTGTGTTTGGCACAATTGGAATTCCCCCAGGCTGGGTTATCAGCCTCTTGCGTGCATGTACAACTCTTACTGTCACTGTGCATTTCACTTGGACCCCTTTCCTTTGCTCTAGTGGGCCAAGGACTGTGTCCTGCTTGGCCTTGCAGTGCCCAAGCACCCTGGACAGTGGCTAACTGAACTAGGAGCAGGACACGTGTGTGGATTGCCCTGCTTCACGGCATGCAAACTGCACGGTGACCACAAGGTGGCGCCCACCACACACCGTTCGCAGTTCCTGGCCTTGCCCAGGCTGTTCTAGTTCCACCAGGGACACCTGCCCCAGGTGGGGCAGGGCCCTCAGAGCCGCCTCCTCTCTCTGCAGATACCCAAGGAGCCGAAAAGCACTGCCCTCCATCCTGAGGATTCCAGCTTCAGGCCCCCAGAACCTTAAACTCCCCGGGCAAGAGAGAAGCAGGTGAGCATGGCTTTGGCTTGTCCGTAGGGGCCCAACTCTGGGAATCAGATGCCACCAGCAAAGGGGCAGAAAGAAAGCATCAAGAACTGACGATGTGAGCTTCTACCCCCCAGCGTCATGCTGGGGTTGGTGGGAGAGGCACTTGGTGTCAGACCATGTGCCTACTGGATAGACACAGGAATCTGTGGAAGGCATTCTGGACTAGAAAGAATATATGGAAAGCGACCTGGGCGCATCCATGGCTTTGCTGCTTACTGCCTACATGACTTTGAGGATCTCTTCACCCCAGAGACTGAGCCTCAGTTTCCTCATTTGTAAAAATGAAAATGACAGGCCTGGCTCTATTCAGTTGATCAACTCGGGCAAGAATCTGTTTTCCTTCCTTCTCATTCTCCTTCCCCCCCCCACCCCCCATCTACTAACATTTCCTTGTCCCTCTGTGAGATGCACTGAGCCCTTTTTCATGCCTTTTGCACCTGACACCTTAGAGAGCTCTACAAGTGCAATTACTTCCCACTTTTCTAAAGATATTTTTTTTCTTTGATGTGGACCATTTGTCTAAAAGTCTTTATTGAATTTATTACAATAAGTATTGCATCTGTTTTATGTTTTGTTTTGTTTTATTTTGGCCACAAGGCATGTGGGATCTTAGCTCCCCCACCAGGAATTGAACCTGCACCCCCTGTATTTGGAGGTGAAGTCTTAACCACTGGACTTCCAGGGAAATCCCAACTTCCCTCTTTTTAATGTGTGCATGCATTCATGCTCAGTCGTGTCTGACTGCAACGCCCTGAACTGTAGTCCACAAGGCTCCCTATCCATGGGATTTCCCAAGCAAGAATACTGGAGTGGATTGCCATTTCCTCCTCCAGGGGATCTTTCCAACCCAGGGATAGAATCTGTGTCTCTTGAATCTCCTGCATTGGTAGCTGGATTCTTTATTGCTGTGCCACTTGGGGGCCTTTTTTAATAGATGAGGAAATTAAGGCTCAGAGAGGTTCAGGTGCTTCAAAGCCAACACAGCACACGTGGAGGAACTGGGGTCTTTCCAGGTCACTATCATTGCTCTTCGGAGAAGGCAATGGCACCCCACTCCAGTACTTTTGTCTGGAAAATCCCATGGACGGAGGAGCCTGGTAGGCTGCAGTCCATGGGGTCGCTAAGAGTCGGACACGACTGAGCGACTTCACTTTCACTTTTCACTTTCATGCATTGGAGAAGGAAATGGCAACCCACTCCAGTGTTCTTGCCTGGAGAATCCCAGGGACGGGGGAGCCTGGTGGGCTGCTGTCTATGGGGTCGCTCATGTCGGACACGACTGAAGTGACTTAGCATCATTGCTCTTACCATAGCTATTTGACCTCCTTGGAGACCAGAGTTTGCAAAGAACTGTTTCTGGGATAAAAGGCTGAGTGATGTGGCAGGAGAGGTTGCTAGGATTAAGGAAAGGGAAAAGCGAGACTCTGACCAGCTGCTTCTGATGCTGCCCATCTCATCCAGAAAAGGAAAAGATGCCCGAGGGGCTTTGGGCAGGACTTGACAGTGGCCCGCTGCTCTTGGCTGTCTCCCTGCAGGCTCCACAGATTGTCCTGCTGCTCCCCAAGGAGCCAGTGCTGACCACGCTGGGAACACAAGAGCAAGGCGAGTGGCGCCCCGCCTGGTGGCCTGGTCCAGGGCGCCTCCATCTCCCCCTCCACCTTCATCCCAGGGGGCCTGCCTGAGAATGGAGGAGGAGCTGTAGACAAAGTGGGCATCCAAGCCAGGTTCCAGCTGCAGGAGGCCTGCCACTGGGGGTCTTGGCGGTCACATCCTGAGAAAAACAGGCCGGAGTGGGGCTGGGGGCTGGAGGTGGACCCAAGTCCTCCTCGGAGACAACATAGCTGCCAGTTGTCTGCTGAGCTCTTCCACCCCCTGCCTGCCCATAAGCAGTGTCTTCCATGCCCCCTGAACCCCCCAGACCTCCCTGTGCCATGCAGATGGCAGCCTCTGTGAATAAACATGCCTGGTGTTCTTTGTAGAATGGGTGTGAATTCTCCAACAGGGCCAGTTTGAGGGGGTGTGAGTTGCTCAGTCATATCCGATTCTTTGCGACCCCATGGACTATAGCCTCTGTCCATGGGATTCTCCAGGCAAGAATACTGGAGTGGGTTGTCATTCCCTTCTCCAGTTGACCTTCCTGACCCAGGGATCGAACCTGGGTCTCCTGCATTGCAGGTGGATTCTTTACCACTGAGCCACCGGGGAAGCTTAAGACCTAAGAAAGCTCCAGACTCAGTCCTGACCCTCCACGCCCGGCTCCCACTCACATTGCAGGGAAAACCATCCTGGGCTCATGAGGAAGAATTTGGGGTGCTGGATTCGGCTCAGCCTGGAGTGCCCCCTAGCAGAGCTCAGCTTTTAGACTGGGCTCTTTCCCCAAGACCCCTCCTTACTTCATTCACATCCAACCACCCCCCAGAAACACCCATTGCATGAGATCATGCCCATGTGCCCTCCATGTGACTGGGCACCCTTTCAAGGGCACTCAGGCAGGGTGAGGGGGTAGGGAGATAGGGCTTTTGTGGTCAACTCCCCCTCCCCCAACCCTTCCCACCTTCCTCCCCGCCATGCCAGTCCTGCTTGCCCTCCACACTGGGAGAACCTTGCAGCCGTTCAGATCTTCCCACCAGTTATTAAGGCCTGCCACCACCGGGGTCAGAGTGACACACAGCTCCAGCCCCCTGGGGGCTCACAGTGTAGCGGGGGATCCACCTGACATCCAGAATCTACCCTGAACTCCAGCAAGCCTTCAGAGCTCGGGGGGCTTACCAAAGTGAGCCAGGGCTTTGGAGGTTGAATAGGAGTTCACCGGAAGCCTGGCCAATAGCTTGAGCAGAGACCAGAGAGGAGAATCACCGTGGCCAGGTTTGGCATGGGTGACAAAGAGGTGGGCGACGGTGTGCCGGCTGGAGAATAAGCAGCAGATTCCAGATCCTTTGTGGAGCAGAGACTGCAAGAAGAAGGGGTGAGGGGAGGGGGTGGAGAAGGTCTCTCCTGCCTCGCGGTCCGCCCTCCCCGCCCCCCTCACAGTTCACACGTACAGCCACACTCACACACTCGGGCCTCCGTTCCCCTTGCCAGAGGAGGGGGAGGAGGCGGAGGGGAGGAGGAGCTGAAATGCAACCTATTCATGTTCCCGCGATGTAACACCCCTCATTTTCCATGCTGGGTAAAGACAAAAAGCCTTTACAACCTGTTTCTGGAACTTGTCAGCAGCTGCCAAGAGGAGCATGTTAATTAAACGTCGGCAAAGATGGAAGCCGGAGGCCCCGGCTCTAATTGGACAGTTTGCTTCACCGGATTGAAAAACATTGTGACAAAGGAGGAGGTGCGCGGCGGCTCGGCAGGGGCGCGGCGTGGCGGGGCGGGGAGCGGCGGCTTTGATTTCAGCTGATCTGAGCCCCAGCCTCTCTCCCCCTGCGGAGCCGGCCCAGCCCAGCCCGGCACGCCCCGCGAGGGCACGGGAGGGGCGGCGCAGGAGGGTGGGTGCGGGTGAGGAGATCCGGAGTCCTCCAGGTCCCGCGGGCAGTCTCGCCCAGGATGAGGCCCAGCCGAGGACCAGGTTTTGGGGGTTCTGGGCCGGGCCCCTTCCCCTGATGACACGACCGCAGTTCTAGGGGGCGAGGGTCCTGCAGTCGCTTCTGTATCGTCGAGGCTGCCCTGGGAACCCAAGCCCAGACCCCAGCAGGGAGAGACCAGGATCTGGACCGCTGTTTCCCAAACTAGCTCAGGTCAAGTGATTGGGAAAGTGATGTTGCTCAGTCGTGTCACTCTTTTGCGACCCCATGGACTGTAGCCTACCAGACTTCTTCTTCCATGGGATTTTTCAGGCAAGAGCACTGGAGTGGGTTGCCATCTCCTCCTCCAGGGTGACTGTGGATTTTGAGATGAGATCAACCTGGACTAAGGCGGGCCCTTGTTTGTGATCGGCTGCTCAGTTGTGTGGACTCTTTGCTACCCCATGGACTGTACCCTGCCAGGCTCCGCTGTCCGTAGACTTTTCCAGGCAACAGTACTGGAGTGGGTCGCCATTTCCTACTCCAAAGTGATTGGGGGTGAGGGCTTAAAAATGTTGAGAGGCTTATCCTGGAAGGCCCGGCTCTGAAGGTTTTCTCAGGGGGCCCTGCAGAGCCCAGAGTTTTCAGCACGGTTGTAGGGAGACCCGGAGACTGTCCCCATTTTGTGGCTTGGTGGCTGTATCCCAAATCCCCTCCTGTTCTCTACTCACAAGTGATGCCAGCAGCCGTGTATGGAGCCCTGACTGCGTGCTGGGCACCGTGCTATCATTACAAGTCCTGGTATATAACCTCCCAGCAACTTGAGGGGGTGGGGGGATGCATTTCACAGATGGGCAACAAAGGTTCCAAGAGGATAAGTAACCAGCCCAAGGTCACAGTGTTGTTAAAGGTGGTGCTAGGGTGAGACTGGAGCCCAAGTCCCTCTGATGTCAGTGTTTGAGCCTGGACCCCACATTTCTTGCTCTCTGGCTCCTGGTCCAGCCAGGAGATGAGTGTCTTCAGGACACTGTGAGACAAGAGTGGGGTTCCTACGGGTGTGTGAGTCACTCAGTCATGTCCGACTATTTGCGACCCTGTGGACTGTAGCCCACCAGGCTCCTCTGTCCATGGGATTCTCCAGGTAAGAATACTGGAGTGGGTTGCCAGTTCCTCCTCTGGGGGATCTTCCAAACCTGGCTCTCCTGCATTGCAGACAGATTCTTTACCGTCTGAGCCACCAGAGAAGCTCTGAGAACCTCTTCTTCGGGCGTCCAGGACGAATGGCCTGAGAGATGGGTGTGCAGCAACCTGGAGTCACTCTGGAGGCCTCTAGGCCTGTTCCCTACTCCTGCATGCTTGCCCACTTTGCATCTCTTGGAGTGGGGTGGTTCGTTAACAAGGCCAAGCCCCCTCTTCTGTCCCCTTCTGCCTTGGCCCAGCTTTGTCCCCCAGCTCACCCTCATCCTGAGCTGTGACCCAGGAGGGCTCCGACCAGGGTGGGAGGCCAGGCCGGGGCCTGTGAGAGGCAGGAGCAACTCTGGGAAAAGGGGCCATTGTGGCTGAGCCCGGGGATTAACAGCTACAAAGTGGAGGGCTGAGGCCATTGAGGGTAGCCCTTCGAGCTGGCTTCCCAGGGGGGGCGGCTGGAGCAGCCTGTGCCTGAGCCGTGTCCAGGCTGCCTGCTGGGCCTAATCCCCTGGGAGCTGCAGGCTGAGAAGCCCCGGAAATACAGCTGCTCTGGAGAGAGGGCTGCCCTTGGTGGGGGTGGGGGTGGGGGGCAGGCTGGTCCAGGACACCCGGGGTGGCTGCTCTGAGGAGGAATGGGTGAGGGGGAGGCAGGCCCATGGGGTGTGAGTGTACACCTGCGCCCCTGGCCTGGCAGGGTGCCTGAGTGGGCCACTCAAAAGATAGGTGACCCGGGATATAGGGAACAAACTAGTGGTTACCGTGGGGTGGTAGGGAGGGCAGTATGGGGTGGGGGAGAGGAGGTACGAACTATTGGGTGTAAGACAGGAGCAAGTATTGTACAAGCAGGGAATAGAGTCAGTGTTTCATAATAAGTGTAAATGGAGAGTAACCTTTTAAATTGTATTAAGAAATTAAAAAAAAAAAGATAGGTGACCCAGTGTGTTGGGGCAGCGTCAGTCCCCTTGTGAGTGTCTGAGATTTAGGGGCTCTCGTGAGGGGAACAGTCACTGAAGGCAGAGAGCAGGCCGACCCAGAGGTGCTCAGAGGTCCCCGACTAAAGAGGTGAGCCTGGCGAGAGAGAAGAGTCAGCGCTCCCACCAGCAAGCCTGAGTGGGTGCTAAGTGTGTGTGTGTGCGTGTGTGTGTGCGCGCGCGCCATCGAGCAGGGTGCTTGAGAACGGCCCTTCAGAGGCGGCTGGAGGGGCTCTGCAAATTGTAATCAGATTAAGGGGGCCAATCACTTAGGGCTCTTGAAAAGGCCACAAGGTTTCTAATCAGCCCTGAGCGCCCCAGCCCACAAAGCCCAGGAGGAGCTCGGCAGGAGCCGCCTGCTGGGGGGCCGTGGGGGTGGGGGCGGCTTTCTTCCCTCTCTGTCTCTCGTAATTATGTCAATTTGCTAGCCAAATTGTTTGCTCGAGTGGACAGGGGGGCTTGTGGCCCATTCATGTGGTAATGTGGGAACCGGCAGGCCTCCTGGCTGGGAAAATAGGAGGTGCCGGACCTTGTTCGAGGGAGCAGGCGGGCTGGGGGTGTTGTAGGCACCCAGGCCTTGGGAACTCTCCCCTAGCTAGTGCGGGACTTTGTCCCATGAATTCCAGAAACTTCCAGCTTGGATTGTGCTCTGGGATATCCTTTGGGGCCTGTCAAGATGAAGGATGGGGAAGGAGGCGAGGACCCCATAAGGGACAGAAGAGGTGGCCTCCGGGTTCCTTCAAGGTGAAGGTGGGCAGCTTGCTGTCTTTATGCCTGGTCCTTTGAGGACCAGGCTGAGGCTAGAGCGGTTTGGGAACTAGATGGCTGGGGTCTCCAACCTCCAACCTCTCCAACCTCTGGGATCTCATGCCTGATGATCTCAGGTGGAACTGATGTGATAATAATACAAAGTGCACAGTAAGTGTAACGCACTTGAATCATCCTGAAATCATGCCCCACCTCCGGTCCGCGGATAAATTGTCCTCCATGAAACTGATCCTTGATGCCAAAAAGATTGAAGACCACTGCGAAAGGGGACCTGGGAGACGCTAGAGAGATGGGATCCTGAAAGGGTGAGACTGAGGAATGTGCAGACTTGGAATAACTTCTTCTCAGTTTACTTAGCCTTTACTCAGGGCCAGCCACTGGCCCAGCTACTTTGTACACAGCAACCCACTGAGCCTGAGAGCAATCCAGGGAGGTAGGCACTGGGCTTCCCATTTCACAAAGAAACTGAGGCTCAGAGAAGCTAAGTGACTTGCCCAACGCCACACAGCCAGTGGGTGAGGAGCAGAAATATTTGTTTGTTTATTTATTTATGG